CGACCATGACGTGCGTAGGCAGTGCGCAGTGGACCGCGCCCGAGATCCTGCGACACCAGCCCTACGACCAGGCCGTCGATGTGTACAGCTACGGCATTGTGCTCTGGGAGCTGCTCAGCGGACGCCAGCCCTACGCGCACCTCAGCCGCCTCGAAGCCGCCGTGGCGGTGGCCTCCACCCAGCTTCGGCCGGAGATTCCCGACCACTGGCCGGCCCGGTGGGTGCAGCTGATGCAGTCCTGTTGGCACGAGTCACCGCAGGTCCGCCCCACCTTCGCCCAGGTCGTGGACCGCATCGAGTCCTTCTAACCTGCGACTCCGTTTGGCGATCATGTAACATAATCACTGTACCATAAAGCGCACACCAACCGGCTTGCTCATTCTGCCATTCGGCATCTCCTGCCCCTGAGCGTGTGCCGTTGCTGGCAGCACGCTCCTTGTCTATGAGTCCTGTGCCCTTGCCGTGGTCCCACCAGCCCAACCGGCTTGCCTCTCCTCACCCAACCTGGAGCAAGCGAGGTGTTATTCGAAATATGCGTGCGTTGTATGCGCGCTCCAACAATAAATTCATAGCCAGGGTGAGGAATGCCAGGGACGGACAACTCCGCTGCCGGCAAAAGGCCGGCTGCTCGAGCACTGGTTCTTTGCTTCGATCTCGCGACCGCACAACACTCAAGTTCCATCTCATTCTGAAAGATAACATAATGTCGGGTTCTGGCAAGGAAGTGTTGGTTCTTGGTGCCGGTATGGTGGTGCGCCCGCTCGTGCCCTACCTCACCCAGCACGGCTACCGCGTCGTCGTCGCCTCCAGGACGCTGGCCAAGGCGCAGCACATCGTCGAGGGCATCTCGGGCGCCAAGGCCGTCGAGTGCGACGTCGACACTGATGAGGGCAAAGCCGTCCTCGAGACCCTCCTGCCCTCTGCCGATGCCGTCGTGTCGCTGCTGCCCTACCTCCTGCACCCGTTCCTCGCCAAGAGGGCTCTCGCCCACAACAAGCACTTCTTCACCACCTCCTACGTCAGGTACTACTCACAATTCCTCCATCATTTATTTCAATTGGGAAGATCTTCCATCGCGTAGTGTGAGCCCATTTCTCCGATTATCACTGCCGCTCCGCTCTACGATTGATTTGTTCTCACTACTCTTTCTCTCCTCGCTTTCAAAGCCCGGCGATGAGGGAGCTCGACGAAGAGGCCAAGGCCAAGAACCTCGTGTTCATCAACGAGTGTGGTGTCGACCCTGGCACTGACCACATGAGGTACGGTTCTTCTCTTTCGTAGTGCCGAACGTTCACGCCACTTGCGTAGCCCACCGGTACAAGTCGAAGCCGGGTCCTCTCTAGTGTCATCGCTGACTCTCCGCTTGTGTCGCTTCTCCCAGCGCCATGCAGATCATCGACGACGTCAAGTCCAAGGGTGGCAAGATCCTCTCTTTCACCTCCTACTGCGGTGGCCTCCCGGCGCCCGACAGCAACAACAACCCTCTCGGCTACAAGTTCAGCTGGTCCGCCCGCGGCGTGCTGCTCGCCTCCACCAACAACGCCATCTTCCTTCAGGACGGTACACTACACACTTCCCTCTCGTTCTTCAGCTTCAGCTACAAAGGCCAAGAGCTATCGACGCTGACGTCACGGTTGCTCAGGCGAGAAGAAGGAGATTC